TATTATTAGTTACTTAATTTAATTTAGATTTTCCCGTCGATTAAATGAACCGAAGTGCTTGGTCTCAGGTTGATATATCGGCTCCTTGTGCAGATGCTTCGACGATGTTTGGCCATGTAACTTGATGTCAATTGGTGTATGGTGACCAGCAGTGGAATCCACCAGGGTGCGCATTTCGACCTATTTGTCACTCGTCATCACATACTTGTAATGAGTAATCTCAAATTGTCTGTATAAATGCATTTTTTTCCCTCATCTGTTTTGCTATATTACAGTCTGTCGTATAAGTGATAAGTCTATTCCTCTTCTCTTATTTATTGCATTCGACGTAGTTAAAATATGTAAGGCTTTAGAGGTCAGCCCTTCTTTATGAGAATGAAAGCCTCTTCCTAGAATTTTGACATTGTCGAAATCAATCTTATGTCCGCTGTCCATAGATAGCATGCATTGCTATAGCTGATCTTTTTTCTAGACTTTTTAATTCTACTTTATTTCTAGGTGGACGTTTCCTGCACAATCTATTTGTCCATAGTGGATTTCAGAATACAAATGTTGTCCCAATCAGCGTTGTAACTAATCACCATCATCGTCGTCTCCTGCTTCACAATATTTTGTAACTGAATTCAGCTCAGACCACGTTTGTCACAGAAATACGATTTATTTTACCACCCAATAACTACTAATCTGTTGTTATTCTACGTTAAAAAATGTATCCACCGCATAACTGGCCATTATTGTAACGATTAACATTATATTTTGTAATTATAAGAACCTGAAAAGAAGGATTTTTTGAGAAGAATTTTCAAGATATGAGAATACTTCACACTCTAAAATCTTATCACCACTAGATTCGAACATTAAGTTTGATATTATAAATGCAGTTTACTTATAAGAGGAGTATACTTAGCCAGGATCTACCTGGAAAGTGATTATTTCTCCATACAGTTTGTTGTCTTTTCACTCACTCCATTTTTTTCGGCAGCTTGCTTAAATCACTGGGCCACAGAAATTACTTTCCACTAAAATGCCTAATTTCATCTGGATTTATCATCACTGTTTTAATCGTCTAGCTATATCAGGTAACCTGTAGATGAAATTGTGCGCTGGTTTAACTTGCTTCCAAGTAAATATACTTTTGAAGTACTAAAACGAGATCTGCACATTTCTTTCCTGGAGAAAATAAACTATTTATCTCCCAGAATCCAATTTACTTCGGAAGCAGAATCAGACGTCGATGAACTACCATTTCTAGACTCCCTAGTTAAGAGATGGGAAAACGGACATTCTAGTATATCCACATTCAGGAAGAAAACCCACTCCAGTAAATATTTAGACTTCAAATCATCACAACCCATCAGCGCAAAGATTTCAATTGTTTCAAGTCTTCTTAGACGAGCACACTTTCTGATAACGGATGAGAAAGAAAAAGAAGAAGAAATATCAAACATTACTGAAACTCTCAAGCAAAACAACTACCCATGTAACTTCATCAACAAAATCAACACAGACATTAAGTATGACCGAAAACGCATTCCGAAAACATGGAAATCAACAGTCGTCATTCCATATAGAGCAGAGACGTCAGTAGATATCAGAAGAGTACTCAATCAACTTGACATTAGAGTTTTCTTCAAAACATCAGACACACTTCAAAGCAACCTTGTCCATATAAAAGACCAAATCCCTAAAGATTCTCTATTTGATTGTGTCTATAAAATAAAATGCTTGGAATGTGATGCGATATACATCGGACAAACATCTCGAGAAATCAAAATTAGAAGAAATGAACACCGCAGAGCATCTGTTCGACCACCGAGAAATCCGGTTGAACTACAAAAACTTGAAAAGTCATCAGCCATAGGTCTACATGCTATAGAATTAGGCCACAAAATTGATTTTGACAATATTGAAATAATCCAGAAAAACTTCAAAAATCAGAAAGAACGTCTAATATCATCGGAAGCATTTCATATCAAATGGAATCCAAATTGCCTGAATAGGAATGATGGACTAAAACAGAATCTGACCTGGTTACAACACCTCCCTCCTCCATAAAGTGACAAAATCAACACAAATATGATATTGATGTTCACCATGTAAACACACACTGCCTTTATAATTTTTAACACTGATCAAATCCAACAGTCTACACTTGATTTTGATTTTGTTATCTTTAACAATTGACCAACTAGACAACGAAAAATGCCCCCAGACTAACGAACGATGATCAAGTTAGCAAACTTTGTTTTGATACCATAACAGATATACTATTACCTTTGTTATTTGGTTTAGTGATCTTCATTGTTAATTTTAACTTTCAATATGTCCCCTTAACTTGACCTAACTTGTCTATTTTCTCACCTCTTAACTGTTTGTTATATATATACTGAGATTTTGTAAATTCCGGTTTAATAATACTTTGATAAAGCTATTAGCATTAAATAGCGAAATGTCAGTAAAAACGACAATATCGTTTTGTTTTTCATTCATTGGGAAATACAAAAACCTTTATTATAATAAACATTGTGCAGTTCATCAACGAAATGAAAATACATACTTCAGATTATTACTATGCATTTAAATCCTGTTTGAAGAAGAAGGTATTTTGGAGCTGGATGCGCTGAAAATTTCTGTTACTTTTTATTTAACTAATTAATTTTTAAAATTTTTAAAATTTTTAATTAAAAGGAATGGGAAAATTTTTGTACCATCTGTTCGTATATTGCCTGAAATAATGCTTTATTAATATTACACAAATGAGTAAATGTCAGTTAAATGACCATTAAAAACCACAGGAGAGTAGTGGACATCTGTTTTATCCTAGTTCGGTACTCATCAATAGTAGCCACCCTTTGGGGCTCGAACCCAGGACCCTCCAGTTACAAGGCTCATGAATTCTAACTTTCACGGATTTGTGATTTCGGTAGAAGTCAATATTCATGGGGCATTTATTTTTTTTATTTGATTTACAGCTTGATTCCACACCGTATTTTCAGTACAAGTATGGAATTTTCAGCATGGATATCGGTTGCCCAAATTCAGGCATACCATATATATCGGGTGTGCGCCGGCAGGGGATCGAACCCGGACCATGTGCATGGTCGGCGAGAGTCCTAACCACTGTGCCACCGACGTCCAAGTGGCTGCATGTTCCATGAACTCACCTTGTAATCGAAAAGTCCTGGGTTCGAACCCCAGTTGGTGCGCATTGCTGAGGAGTTGCAAACTAGGACTAAGCAGCTGTCCAATAGTCCCTGGTGGTTTACGATGTTTCTCTAACTGACGTCAACCTGTGGTGAGAGCTGGCTGCAAGCCAAAAATTGTAAACAGAAGTTTACGTCCCGAATCGGGGTCATGAGAGAAACGATAAGAAACCCTAACCTTGAGGAACTCACCAACTAATCGCAGCCAACTTAACGTGTGCGAATACGATTCGCAGATATATTGATTTTCTCAATAAACGATCTGTTGTCTGGCCCTTGTCTTCTAGTGTTACAAACCTACCAGAATCCCTACAAACTAACTCAATGGAAATAAATATTAAATAAAGCAAGAGAGTCTCATTGAAATTCTTTATTGCATAATAGTGATAGTAGTAATAATAATAATAGTAGTAGTAGTAGTAATATGAATAATTCTGAAGTATTCCGTAAGACTTGACTCTTGTATATTCTTGTGGATTTTCTTTTTTATCTCTACAGTATTCTGGTACATTGAAATAGTGTCTTTGCTTTCTTGGTTACATTTGAAATTCCTAAGTTTCGATGTTTGATATATATTTTTTCGCTTTAGAGGATTCATTGTCTCATTTCTATTCAATGATCAATTTCATTGTAGCGCTTCAATGTGAGACATAATAATTATAATAAGAAGAAAAAGAGGAAGGACAATAACGTGAAGAGAATTTGGTTTGAATACACACAAGTTGAAAGAAAGAAAGAAAGGAAGGAAGAAACACGAAACAGCGCACAACAGCAACGATAACAAAAGTCGTCGTCGTTACTGTCGTCGATGTAACTAATCAACTAACTAACCAGCTAACTGCCCATTTTCTGATCAAAAATTGTAAAGTGATTAGAGAAAGGAAGAATCACAAGTACTGGTGTGTGTGTGTTGTGTTATTCTTTATTTTGTTGGTACAGTTCGATCTATATTTGTCTATATTTTATTATCAGTTTTAGGCCAATATACAATTAATCCAAGGAAATATATTGCAGCACTGTCTGTCTCTTACTTCAGTGACATGCAGAAATGTAGATAAGGAAACATTGTTCTTCACAAATTTTATTCATCTGAGTGAGTGAGTTGGCTGGTTAGTTAGTTAATTAGTTTTAATAAAAGGCTCTTCGAAGTTCTGCAACATTTTTCAGTATATAATTATGACTTGTGCGTAGATTACTGCTATGCGATACTTCAACCCATTTAACTTGTTCCTCTGTACCAGGTTCATTGAGTAACTATGAGACAAAATTAAAAAGAAAAAGAAAAACACGAAGACATAAAGACAATGTGTTTTTAATATCGAAACATAAGTAGAATAGTGCAGTTAGATCATGAATAAGCACCATTTAGAGAAGTCGATAGCCGTTACATCTTTATTTGGGACTCTCCATCAATGGGATAAAAGACTTGAAAATACTAACTCCTTTTTATTTACCCTATATAAAGCGTGAGCATCAGCTCAAGTGACTATTCCCAAATAGAATGAAACGCCATCATTAGCCAAATAATAGAATTATGAGTCCTAATCACATTTAGCTTACTTCAGCTCACACAAGTAGATAGTATCAAAAGCCCTCACACATTATGTGTGCCTCATAACTCGGTACTCAAAAGATCCAGCTTGGGTAACTGTGTTCAAATAACAACACAACTTTATGATTATTTTATTATTATTCCGTGTGGAACATAGGGCTTTAACAACACATATCGACTTTGTCCTATCTTCTGTCGTCCTCTTCAGCTTGGGCCATGTTTGCTCATAATCTCTCAACTCCTTCTCACACGATCTCCTCTACGTCACACTAGGACGACTCACTCGTTGCTTCCAATTTGTATTCCACTCGAGGGCCTGGCGTGCGATGTCATTCGGTGGCCTCCTCAATGTATGCCTGTTCCATCTCCATTTTCTCCTACATATTTCTTGAGCAATCGACTCTTTGTTGGTTTGTTCCCACAGTTTATTGTTACCTATTCTTCCTGGCCATTTGATCTTCAGTATGCAGCCAGTGAAGGGAGCAGCTGTTGATGAAAGTCTGCAACCTGATGGAAATGCATTTCGTGACATACTGGCCTTGTTTCTAACCCGTATAGAAGGACCGACTTCACATTGGTGTTGGAAATCCGAATCTTGTTCCTTATTTGGAGTGTAGAAGGTTTCCAAATTGGTGTCAGGTTGATGAAGGCTTATCTTGCCCTTCCGATTCTGGCCTGCTTTGACATCGTCATCAGTTCCGACTGCATATAGCTGAAACGATGCTTCCTAGATAAGTGAAGGAAGTAACCTCTGTTAAATCTCTCCGGTTGATGGTGATTGGTGCTGGTTTTTTGTCTCTGTTGCTTGGTTATCTTCATTAACTCCATCTTCTCTATGTTCACCTGGAGTCCTGCCTTCACTGGCTGCTTCTTTAGACAGTTTGTTGGTTTTCTCCTGTAAGTCTTGGAGTTTGTGTGACATTAGACATATATCATCTGCAAAATCCAAATCTTCTAGAGTCTTCTCATCGGTGGTCTGGCGTACTCTTGTCTCCTCTACACAACTTTATAAATCCTAGTTAAAACAAACTATTTAATCTATTATATGGACCTAATTTCCCTAAAAAATGTACATGTATCTTTACATTGCTGGTTATATTTCCCTCACCCCAATTATGATATTGGAATTCTATTGGTTGTCAACTATTTTAATTTATCAGTGTAATTAGTGTCGCTCGAGGTCATATAGAGCATATATATCAACCAACCGTTAATACGAGACAGTAAAAGCTCTCAACGTCAGTGGTCTGTCTTCTTTTCTCGCTTTCTTGCATCGCAGTCCCCGTACAATATTGGTTAGAACAATAGGCTGGCGTATGGACTAGTTGAGGAGTTCCTTAGAGCAACTACCAAGTGTAATAAAGGTTATATGAGAATAGTATTATGTAATAACTGTAGAACGTTATTCAAATTTAAAAATATCATGAAATTACCTTAAGTATATCGTCTGGAAGTTGAGCACCTTTACTCTCAGATTCATGCAAATTGATTACAACTGTCTCCATCCATGCACTATCAGCATTCAACTGGTCGTCAAGATAACCTTTGAAAATCTAAAAGACAATATGGGAAAGCAAATAAGTAGTCTAAGTTTTACAAACTAACTGTTTTTCGAAAGGCTAAGAAAAATATCGGATTCCAGGGAAATTTATTAGTAAAACATTCTGCAGTTTCATTCGTCACACGAAGGTATCGTGAATAAAACGAGCTGAATATAATCACAGATATTCGATAAAGTATGTTCAGTATGCCCGGCCGATAACTGCTACCTTGCCGTGGTGGTCGGGCTTGAATGCCGCAGTGACCCAACAAGCTAAACTGGCTGGGACTCATGTCTCTGCAGGTCCTACCATGCCAGGAAGGTTGTTTGGATAGCGGTTAGACTAAAAGCAGTTACCATGGGGTACATGGGCTCCAGTTTCCAATTGGATCGAATGGCGTATGAACCCATATGGGTCACCGGTAACCATGGGAATGCAGCTCCTGACGCTGCTCCGCTGCCTTGCGGATTAGACTCCAAGTCAAAGGCTCGGGGGTGGTCCCTTAATAAAACCACCTGCTTCGGTCTGGGCGCCCAGGCAGTATCTCAGCCCGCACACAATGAATGAATTGAAGCAACGAACTCTCATTGAAACTCAACGCGCGCTAGTGAAAAATGATTTCAAGCAATATTGATCCCTCAAGCAACTTATTTCCTTCCTATCTTACTTTTATTTTTACACATAGTTTCCTGTATTTTACCTTTGCTAACCTTGGCTTCTTAACCTTCGACAGCCTTTCGCCTTTGTCGAGATTCCCAGCATATCCGTGTCGTTTCGAGATGTTAGTGAGTAGTCCTCAAAATGGTTGTTCCCAATGCGACTTCTAACACAGATATCCTGAAACCGCGTGCTGCGTTCAAGCTGGCTACCTACAATGTTCGGACGCTGATGCAAATCGGACAACAGGCAGGGTTGGCAAGAACTTTGGAAAGCCTCGCTATCGATGTCTGCTGCATTTCGGAGACCCGCATTCAAGATCCCAGTGAAGTGCTTCGACTATCCTCTCCATCTGGAAGTTCTAGTAGTATGTACCACCTGCGCTTATCCGGGGACCCTGTGGCATCGGCATCCGGCGTAGCTGGTGTCGGTGTCGCACTGAGCGCTAGAGCCGAAGCTGCACTGCTCGACTGGATTCCCATTAACAGTCGTTTATGTGCTGTGAGGCTGGAAGGATATACGAAAGTAAGGAGTAGTAGGCCAGATAGGCGGTGTCTATTTGTTGTCTCTGCCTATGCACCGACGGATTGCAGCCCGGATGCAATGAAGGATGAGTTTTACTACCAACTGAGCGGTCTGTTGAAACAGGCGGGTCGGAGGGATATCGTAGTGCTAGCTGGGGACTTGAATGCACAGGTCGGGCGTCTAAGCTCAGAGGAGAGTCGTCTAGGTGGTCAATGGGGACTACATGGTCGCAGGTCAGATAATGGGGACCGTCTTCTGCAGCTTTGCGCGGATCACAACCTATTTCTAGCCAGCACCAACTTCCGGCACAGCCATCGCCGTAGCGCTACCTGGCGTCCTCCCTCTGCGAAGCAAGCTTGGACTCAGATTGATCATATTGCGGTCAGTTTCCGGTGGCGAGAATGCATACAAGACTGTCGCTCCTTCTGGAGCACATGCCTGGACTCCGATCATGCGTTAGTGTGTGCCAAGTTCGTCTTGCGATTTGGTGGGGTTCGTAAAAACCGTCGTCTAAGCGTTGATGTGAGCAAACTAGTAGCACCTGCTACTTCTTTGAAATATCAGAATGAGTTGAAAACAATGCTTGCCAGCAACCCCCCAAGTAGTATAGATGAACACTGGCTTCATGTGCAAGGTGCCATGCAAAAGGCGAGTGTAGCCGCTTGCGGCTTAAAAGAATGCTCCGCTAACAACCACTGGGTTTCTGCGAGTTCCTTGCAACTCATGGATGAACGCCGGTCCATTCCAGGTGGCAGTGAATACAACAATCAGCGAAAGGCGCTCACGCGCAAGATTAGACAGTGTTTACGTAAGGACCGTGAAGCCTGGGGGTCAGAACGTGCGTATGAGATGGAGTCAGCTGCTGCATCTGGCAACAGTCGGAAGCTGTTCCAACTCATACGAGCCACCGGCAGCAAGAAACAAGGTGTCAGCGAGACGGTCTGTGAGGCAGATGGCACTCCAATTACCAGCCTGAAGAGACGCCTGGAACGCTGGGCAGAGCACTTCGGGAAGCAGTTCAGCTGGCCACCAGCTTCATTGTCTACTATCACTAGCCCGAGTGCTCCTTGGTCGGTTAGTACCGACCCATCCACCGAAGCGGAGGTCCGTAAGGAACTCCAAGTTCTGAAACGCCATAAGGCGCCCGGCCCAGACAAATTACCCCCGGCTCTTTTTAAAGAGGGTGGTGAGACTCTCATAATGGCTCTAACTGGGTTGTTCAGGAGGGTTTGGGAGACAGAGAGCGTACCATCAATGTGGAACGAAGCCATTATCGTCCCCATCTTTAAAAAGGGTCGACGTAATTCGTGTGACAACCATGGGGGTATCAGTCTGTTACCAGTTGCGTCTAAAATATTGGCTGCTGTCATGCTTCGCAGACTGTGCAAAATACGTGAAGGATTGATTCGCGAAGAGCAGGCTGGGTTTCGTTCAGGTCGTGGATGCATTGATCATGTGTTCACCCTTCGTCAGTTGTTGGAACACCGCCACACGTATTGCAGGCCAACGATCGTTGTGTTTCTTGATATTAGGGTTGCCTTCGATTCGTTGGACAGAACTGTGCTCTGGAACTGTCTGTTAGAGAGAGGTGTACCTGAGAAATTTGTTAACATCTTGAAAGCCCTATACAGAAACACCTCAGGTAGAGTGAGGGCATACAACCAACTATCACCACTGTTCCCAACCAACAGTGGGGTTAGGCAGGGTTGCCCAATCTCGCCATTTCTCTTTAACTTTGCCATCGACGACATTCTGGAGTCAGCTTTGAAGGATGTATGTGAAGGTGGTGTAGATCTGCTACCTGGAGATAGACTTTTCGACCTCGAGTATGCAGACGATATCGTCTTACTGTGCGATGGCATGCAGGCTGCCCAAATCGCACTTAATCAGTTGGCGATCAGTGTCTGTAAGTATGGTATGTGCTTTGCACCATCTAAGTGCAAAGTACTGTTACAAGATTGGCAGGAGCCTGTACCTGCACTCACTCTTGCGGGTGAACCGCTTGAAGTTGTCGATAAGTTTGTGTACCTAGGTAGTTGTGTGAGTGCTGGCGGAGGGGTGACGGATGAGATTTCCAACCGTATAATGAAAGCTAGGGTGGCATACATCAACTTGAGCCACCTCTGGCGCCGTCGCGACGTTAGCCTGGCTGTCAAAGGTCGGGTATACAATGCTTCGGTGCAAGCTGCGCTGCTCTACGCCTGTGAAACCTGACCTCTCCAAGCTGAGGATGTGAGGCGACTCTGCGTGTTCGATCACCGCTGTCTCCGCAGGATTGCTTGCGTTCGATGGCATCATCGCGTGAGTAATTCTGAGGTTCGGCGGCGTGTGTTTGAACACAGTGGAGATCACCATTCATTGAATGTCGTCATCTGGAAACACCGGCTCCGGTGGCTTGGACATGTGCTGCGAATGTCACCCCAGAGGCTTCCGTACAGGTCTCTGTTCGCTAGCCCTGGGACGGGATGGAAAAGGTGGAGAGGTGGTCAGCCCATGACGTGGCGTCGTGGGATGAAGGATTTCTGTGCTAGATTAGCATCGGTTGGTGTGTCACGACTCCCTGGTTGGGGTCTGAGAGATAGCTCAAATCGATGGCTCGAAACGTTATCGGATATGGCCAAGAATCGTAATCAATGGCGAATGTGTTGCGATTTCCTTCTTTCTTCCATTCCCGATGATAGTTAACGAACACTGTTTGAACCTGCTAAGAATGAGTGTTTTCCTTCCAGATGAAGTTCTTTATTCGTTCTTTACTTATATATAAATTTTTTCTTTTCCTGCCTTCCTTCCTTTTTTTTCATCTACGTTGTTTTATTATTATTGTGTGGCGCATCCTTCTTGGTGCCATATTGTACCAAGTTCTAATGCGTTTAAATAAATAAATAAATAATGTTCAGAGAATATAAAGATTCCATTGTGGGTCAAATTTATTTTGATAAAGTCTCACAGTGTTATACAGTAATATTTATTGATGAAAACGTTTCGAGCACAATTTATTACTGCTCATCATCATGTCAAGGCACAACTCACACAACTTTCTAACTTCGTTTATATGGTTCCACTGTTTTTCATCTCTTGATGTGACTGGTAGTAATAATTTCCATATCTCTGGTAATGGTTACGAGTCATTCCTATTACACGTGTTGGGTGTAGATTCTATGAACAGAGATTCAGTAATCAACCTCTCTCTCTCACTTACCTATACTAATTCTTAAAATTTTAACCCTCTCCCACCCACTCTGTTGTATGGTTGTGTGTTAATGCATGCAGTGCAGTCGCTGAGCTTTTTTCTAAATTACTTATCTTCGCGGGGTCAACCATTCCTACCTTAGCTAAATTCTTATGTTCCGACAGTTTGACTACCCCCGATCTACTAGTCTGACCTATGTAGTTGACTTAACTTACAGTCATTGCAAAGTATTTTGTAAATTATATTATTTTGTCTAATTGGGTCAACCAACGGGGTCCTTTAACCTACAGAGCTTGTCCTACCTGAGTGAGTTTGTAGGTTTAAATGCCACCACTCTAATTCCTACTTTATTTAGAATCCTATGTAGGGTCTCAGATGTTCCCTCCTTATATGGTAAAACTACTGTAGATGCCTTATATTCTCTCTTATTTATGTTATCATTATTAGTTTCACCATTATTTTTATTTTGCTTTTGACCTTTTTTGATCTTCCTAATGAATTTTATAGGACAGTTATTCAACATCAACGTTTATTCTGTCTGTTTCATTTCATCATTTAGGTTTTTGTTGTTGTACTACTTAGTGCTATTGCTAGTACTATTGTTAGACACTTAACTAAGCCTACATTTACAGATAACGGATGAGATATATAAGTAAGTTTTGCCCACACTGGGATAATACTCTATCACAGTGCACAAGTTCTATTCTTATATCAATATGTAGATTGTTTAAATAATGAGTTACCGAATCTTTTTAAAGTTAAAGGACGACAATTGTGCGATAATCTATTTCTAAGCTACAGAGCATGACCATATCTCATATAAATCTCACCGTAGATAGGCGACATATAAATCATTAAAGGTCTATGTATTAAGTAGTATCTTATTGGGCGCCTTTTACTTAGGTTTTGAAATTTACAGCTCTCATCAGTAAGGTGTATCTCCGGTCTCAAAGAAACTCATTTCTTCTCTGAGATTCAATAATCTGTTAGTTCATTTACCAAGATTTATCCTGAAACCACCTTGTTATTTAGAAAGTACGGCGACATTATTCCACATTGACAAATGATGAAATCATACCAACAAAGTTATTGAAAGTCTTTTTATTTTTTAAGTTTTGATTTCAGCATGAACCCAGATCGTTTAAAGAATCACTGAAAATAAGGTAACACTAAATATCGGTTTCATTTTAGTTCAAGAGCCTTCAGCATAGCACTCCCATGATTATATCAGAGATTAGACTCTGTATCTTAAAGTTACAAGGTAAGCATTTAGTTGACAGTATTGCGTAGACGCTCGCCGACCATGCACATGGTCCGGGGTCGATCCCTGGCCGACGCACTCCTTTACCTCGCTAAGCCAGAAATAATGCTGGTGAAGAGGAAAGGTTGGGCATGAGGTTAGCAACCCCATCCTGTAAAATAAACACTGCTACAGAAACTTCAAGCTTCTAGCTTGAAGCCCTTTTTTCGGAAACTTTGTCACAGACATGCAGTTTAGCCACAGTAAACAACTTTATCAGTCATCTGATCTATTCGTCATTCTATCTGACCGTCTCTGTCTGTATTTCTATCCACTACCTCATTGCACAGATATTTGTCTAATCTAGGCAACTGTTCCTGTGGTTCAAGTTATATAGGGGGCACGATTAGGCAGGTTCGTCTACGGCTTCGAGAACATTTAACAGCTTGGTTCAACAGGGGGAAATTAAGTGCATAAAAACCTCGGCCCTGTCACACTTGGCTGATACTGGACATAGCATCGATGTCAACACAGCTTTCAGGGTTGTATACCGAATTTCAAAGTCGTTATCAAGTACAGTTCGCTTATGTCTGCAATAAGATCGACTAAACCGGAACTTTGTATCCAAAAAGAACACGTTCAGCTACTGTTCCTGCCGTGGCCCTACTTGAGTTAGTGATTCTTCTTGTCACCAAGATTGCCTCTTCCCCTTAACCCTCTTGGTTCTTTTCTTTCTTTGCTTATTATTACAAGTATTATTATTCGTCATAATTTATACCCTTCATTCAAGCATTCTCTCAATACTATCGAATTTTCCAATTATAGTATCCTTTTCTCTATATATGCCTCCATTTGTTTCATTTCACATATTGGTCATTTCATGATGAATGTCTCATTGCAGTCTTGCTATCTCCTCCTTAATACATACCACTTTGTACTAGCCACTCAACTGACACCCTTTATAACCTTCAACTGACCGGTCAGTTTTCGTACCCCACACTCTACAAATCTATTATGACTAATCACCACCATTTCCTCCCATTTCGCAATATTTTGTAATCGATTTCAGCCTAGCACGTTTGTCACGCAAATACTACTGTTTATTTTGACACCCCATAAACCGTATACGCCACACGACTGGGCATTATTGTAACGATAACAAATATTGTATTTTATAATTATAAGAACCTGAAGAGTAGAAATTATTGAAAAGAATATTCTTCGTTTAGATTGACTTTTAATTCATGGTATGGGACTATTTCACACTATTAAAACGGTGAGTGTATAGATAGAATGTGCATACTAGTAGGAGTAGGGGGGAAAATAACTATTGTCAGATAGCGATTAGATAATAACGATAAATTGTGAAACCTAGAATAAAATGTACAGCTACAGCACAACATGACATTGATAATACACTTAGCATTACAAATAAGATAAAATAAAAATATAATAAGATAATATTTACGGTTATCCGGTATCACCGTAAGAAATTACTATTTTAGGTTGGCGATGAAGGCCAAAAGAGGGAGAGAGACTGAACAAACTTTTTCTGAACACAGAGATTGGGTTGGCAACTACCTCAGTTAAGCTTAGCAACCGAAGACCTACCAACCTAGGGAGCTGAGATGTTTGCAATTAAATTGTTGGCATCGAAACTTCGAAAAATAATAGCAAAAGGATTCTTTGCCGTAACATTGTGTTTAAAATTCGCTACTCAGTGTATAATTCCAAAGCAGGTAGACGATAAACTAACGAGTCTGACTATTTCATTGTGCATTTGTAAATTTAGCTGTTCATGTGGAGACAGTTACACATCGGTAGGATGACTCGGCAAGCTCGACATCACCTTCTGGAGCACTGTCCAACGTGGTTAGGTAAAGGAGTCGTCATGTCCATCAGGAGTTTCACAGTGATACACCTTATGGATATTTGTCTGTCTTTGTCTCCTACCCTTATTTTAGATGGATGTGGAAACTTAGGAGTTATTTTCAAAATATGATCTTAAACTTAGAATGAACAGGTGGATATTTGTAACAGTGGCAAGTAAAACACTAACTATTTCAAAATGCCATTATCAAAAATTTGTAATCTGTTGAATTTCAATCTACTTACTGAACGATAACTGATTTTTCCGAAAACGTGATGGTTCTGTAATTAGTGTCATAGATGCACAGAACTGAAGATTTCGAAACTACGTTAAAACAGCTGCATAATATCCTATAGTCTTTATCTCTTCCCGAGTGCACGTTGATTCATTATAGAGTTCAAACCAATTTTTAAGTTCACCATTTTTATTTGCTGAGATAATAAATCTAAGTACGAACGCTGCAACAACATCTTGAGACTGACATCCTTTTATTTGGCAACAGCAGGTATCCTCTGGACAGAAGAGGGCTCTAGTGACTTAGTGGTCTACTGGATAGTTCTTCCTCCTATTAAAAAAGGCACTAAGCTCGAGTCCTCGTGAAGTTCAGGCAGATCCAGTTGACTAGTCCCAAGTATGAAGAAATGTGTGTCGTGGATCCCACTGCTGGGCACTATCAACTAAATAATCGCAATATTTATCACTACAGCAATTAGAATTCGAAATGGTTCATAGGAAACTGAACTATTTCTAGTCATTGCATAAATGACAGGCATAGTATGACTGATCGCCAGTCTTATATCTGTGTACTTCAAAACTTTCACAAATATACATAAGAGGAAATAAATAATCTTGGAATTTATGATACAATCATCAACACAAAATGCAATCCCATTAGACTTTTTTCATTCCTTTACGTTCCCAGTGGAACACAGGGCTTCAAGCTAGAGGCTTGAAGTTTCGGTAGGAGTGGTTGCTAGCCTCAAATGCCCAACCTTCCCTCTTTACCAGTCTTATTACTGGCTTAGCGAGGTAAAGGAGTGCGCCGGCCAGGGATCGAACCCCGAACCGCTGTGCCACCGACTCACTATTTATATATATATGACTTTAAAAAACCATACCTGTGTAACTTCAGCCTTTTCAATTCGTTTCAATAATTTGTCAACTCTTCTTTCTGGAAGCATAGCACGTGCTCGTCTGGTTATCAAAGTGCTGATAAGTTTCGGTACACATTCATCGAAGTCACACCGGTTCGTATGATCTGTTAGATACTGAAAAACAAAAACAAAAAAATAAAAATGAAAATGTTATCACTGTGTGAGCCTCCGTTTTCTGATTTGTTTCATAACATAGCACAAAGATACTGAAGCTCTACCTTTGTTACTTATTCAGGTAGGTAGTATTGTTGGGGATCAGAGAAGCTGAGTTCATCAAATCAGTTGAAGCTTCAATGATCAATTTGTTTATCTGTGCGGATTAAAACAAATGGTGGACAAATGGGTTTTAAAGGCACAAGAGCTCAGCGGTAGCATTGTGATGAGATTGTGTATCTATACACTCTCTTGAAAATACAGCTTCTGTACTGAAGAAAGTTATCTTTATTAAATTGTCATTCAAGGGTGGTCAATTCAAAAGCTTCAGTTAGCTTTCAAGTGTGCATCCTGCGCTACACCCTTTTTCCTTATATCTCGAACATTTTCAATTCCTGTGCCTACGACTAAAGGAGGAAATTCTGTGGACTCTACTTCACAATGAATCTATAAGTTCATCTGCTGTTGCTGTGACACATATATGCCTAGAATCGATAGAATGTTTGAATGTCGTCGAAAACAATATGTTTCAAAGTGGTTATTAAGATATATAGAAAACCCAAATACACTTAATCTGAATAGAAATCTAGCATCATCTTCTGCAAAGCGATTATTAAATGCCCGATCACAAAATCAATATTAAGGACAGCTGAGCAATTACTTCACATAATTCTAACTCAGGGTTATTAAACATAATGGGGACACTTTGGAGGAATCATATGCATCCCTAACTGTATGTGTACAGAAAACAATTGACTCCAACCACTTGCCTTTCACGGACTACTTGACCTACTTAAATATGATTGGCTAATGGTATGTACTTTTGTTTTGGGTAATTGAGTAATTCAAGTTTTGGTTTAAGGGATTTGATTGATTGGTTACAGGATTTCATCATGAAGTGACATTGGTTAGGGGACCATTGAAAAACCTGTTTCGTCCTATTTTAGGACTCTTCATCAGTAAAGTGGGTGCGTACTGCTTAGCAGTGCCATGTAGTTATTATGTATGTATTACACATGAGTACACATGAGGTGATGGGCCGAAGTCACATATATGCGTAGATCCTTGAAAGCCGACAATGATTATATGTCTGCTTACGTAATAAGGAAAATGAACACAACTGTCTAACTTACCCATGGCATGCATAACCTTTTATTTCTTTCCAACGCCAAATACTGTAATACACCACGATTACTTCGAATCACTTGTGCCCCAGTCCGTGTATCTCTAGTCCATCGTGTAATACATAACACCAATGAATGATTTGGTCCCCAACGTGGTAACAATCCTTTACCCAATAATCCTGTTCTACCCATTGGATTAAGTGGTGCGCCAGTCGTTGAATCCAATCGATAACGGCCAAGTAAACTTTGTCGGCGTAGTTTAGCCTTAGAATCGTATTGATTGAAATTGATACTGCGTAGATTTTCACTATGTTCAAAAGTAAATATCACGTTCCCATGCGTGAAACTTCATAAACATTAAATTTTTTTTGAATAATCATTTATATTACGAGGAGTAGCACATATTTTTTGGGGGGGGTGGTGGTGGTGTTCAGTGTGACCCAGAAGAAGGAGAACGCCGAGATCATCGATTCACAGTTGATAATAATGCGGAGAAGAAATCAACAGAGTGTTTTGTTTTGTTTTGACTATGAGGAACAATTTTCTGTCTACATTCTACGTCTACAGTAGAGCCATGCAGTGATGCATTACCGTTTTTGCATAACATTTTCGGTATATAATGGAATCAAGCAGTGTTTAGACATGATATAGCATAGTGTTTGATAGGTCTATAATAGACTGTCTTGTTAGTTCCGTTCTAGATTAGTTTTATAAAGCTGACATGCAACTACCAAGCAAGAAATAACTAAAGTAGCCAAGGTACTTACGTCGAATATTCTCGTTCTGTGTTACAGGAGTACAATGGAAGTCGAAACGAAGTCTTAAGTCGGAGAGGGATTTCAAGCATTTGAAGTTTCATTTTGGAGGCGATCGACAGGTAACCTTCGACTGAGGTTTCGTGCCTATTGGCGCTCGTTAGCAAGGTTTATACGCGATCTTGAAGGAACTCATGTTTCTTCTGAAATTTTAACCCGGTTCACTCAGTGCTGAATGTTGTTGGCTTGAAATTCTACTGATTAAGCTGCTAGACTAGATTAAGGGCTCAGTGTTGAATCTAAGTGGCCAACTTCTCACCAGTTGCAGGTTTAAATCCTGGCACAATTAAGATTTACTTCATCTTGGGCCATCCCTCCATCACACAGATATAAATGTATGACTCCAAGATCATGTTAGACAGTCTTTAGTATTGTGATTAAATTTTATAGATGGAAGTTGGAAGTGTGACCTTCGACACGAATCGTGTTCTATTTAGGACTTTTCGGTTAAGCTTCAGTAGTTTTAAATATCGAGGAGTTGCTCACTAGGGTATTAAGCCACTCAATTTCGAAAAATATTGCAATTATATATTCTGAAAACTTGAAAAGTTCCACATTTTTTCAGGACATTAGTGAATTCAGTGGAAATCCAGTTATTAAAGTTAGTTAAGTCAGTTAGATAAAAGCAAGCGATAGCTATATTAGGAACTTTTCTATACCATTATCTGATCAAGTGAAAGTTTGCTTACATCTATTGCTATACTGTAGAAGTACTATCAAATCTGTGCCTCTACATGATTCAGCGACTTGACGCGTCACCAAAAGCTTTTCCAACAGGCTACTGCAGACTATCATCAACATCTTCCTACTTCACTCCATAGTGAACATCAGATGGTCAGAAAGGATAACGAATAAAGAAACTCTAGCAAGGTACCAACCAAGAAACTAACGCCTAACAAATATTCACATGGAAATAGACATGAATTTGACGTACACTGAGGAGACGGTTGACTGACATCGCGGACACATCTAAGGTGGAAACCGAGTGGGTAACAACGGGCTAGGTGTCTCAGGGTGATGTGGAGGAGATGAGGAGCTAACCAAAGATGACTGCAGAGAACAGAGTGAAGTGGAGATGTTTCGCTGACGTCCTATCTTCCACTCGGAACTCAAGAGAAGATTAATCCTCTACTAGATGTCACTGAAACACGAATTTTCGTGTAAATGACACAGAACACTTGACATGAAATTTAAGAACTTTGAAGAATTGCTTTTCTGGGATTTAACTAGTTTGAAGGTAGATTTAGTCACAAGTCTACCTCATTTACAAAAACTTTGAAAATTTAAGATTACTGGCTAACCATTTCGTCCTAGTTTGAGACTTTCCAACAGTGTGTACCTGCGATCAATAACGAAATCACGATTAAATGTCTGCTCATAAGTTACACTGGAGATTTTCAACCCAATTTCAGTCATCTTTAGGCGGTCAGATTCGAAATATCGGCCTGCAAACACTAGTTTGGTGCTCCACTAACCGATCTACCGGACCTTTCTGATAATCAGCTTACCATTTCCATACAGTCCTCACGGGTAACCCACTAGCTGGAGCCCAGCTGGTAGAGTACCAGACTATTTCATACCATGCCGTAAGCTGGATCTTCATCTCTCCTTGAGTCATCACTCGTTACATTAATGATTAATAATCAGAATTAGATATAGAGTGACAATGGCAAACATGCATTATTGGGCATGCCATAGCATTTTAAAAAATTCTTTCAACTAGGTTGATGGTTAGTAATATACATTATAGCATGAAAAAAGTTTTAGTACTGTCTATGCACGTCCATACAAGAAAAGGTAAAGCAAGGCTTAAAACAGTTAACAGAAGAAGAGAGTATAAGGAATTGATTATAAACCATTGACAACATGCAACAACTAAGCTATAAGTTAAACTAGTTTGTCTTACTTCTCTCCATCATGTGCATCTTCCGATGGGAATAGCAATACCTCTTCACATGCATCATATGCGAAATAATCTGGATATTCAGCCTATACAGAATAAAATCAAAATAAATTATTGAACAAAGTTAAAACAAAATGACTATCGTATTTAACTTGAAAATGAAACTTTGTTATGTGGTAATATTTTGGTTTGTAGGGATCTGAATAATTGAGTCAAGAACTGACATCATTAAGAGGACCATTGAAAACCAGGGAATACTCAGTAAGTGTTTCGTCCTAGTTTGGGATTCTTTAGTTGTGTACATCTGTAAACTCGCCATGGTCCAAAATTAATACCTTTTAGCTACTTGCCCATGGGGCTCCAACTTATTATTATTGTTTCCTTTAATTCCTAGAGGAACATAGGGCTTCAGCCGTGCGTCTCCATTGCGTTCGGTTCTCTGCTAGAGTCTTCACCTGGCTCCAAGTCTGCCCACACGTTTTCATCTCCTCTTCACATGACCTCCTCCAAGTCACCCTTTCACATGACGACCAACTCGCCGCTTCCCTTTCGGGTTCCACTCAAGCAATGGCTTGTCTAGTGATGTCACTTGATGCATTGTTTCCTCAGAGTATGGCCAATCCATCTCCATTTCTTCCTGCCTATTTGTTTCACAATCGGTTCCTGCTGAGTTGGTTCGCTCATTGCCAGAGATCTCTGTTGCTGATCTTTTCTGGCCGGCCATCTGATCTTGAGTATTGAGCGAAGACAACTGTTAATGAAGGTCTGTAGTTTGTTTGAGATGCTCTTTATGACGCGCAGTGCAAGTCTCTGATTGAGTAGCACTGACTGACTTCACATTGGAGTTGAAAATCCGGATCTTATTTTTGATGTTGAGTGCTGTTGACCTCCACACAGACTTGAGAGTAGTGAAAGCTTGTCTTGCTTTTCCGATTCTTGCTTTGATATCCTCGTCAGTTCCGCCTGCCTGTAGTTGAAACGATGCTTCCCAGGTAGGTAGGTAAAAGAGGTTGTTTCTTTCAGGTTCCTTCCATTTATGCTGATCGTTGTCTGTTGTTGTTGTTCTTGTCCAGGAATCTTCATTACCTCTGTTTTCTCTATGTTCACCTGAAGTCCTATCTTTGATGCTTCTTCTGCCAACTTGTTGCTTTTCGCTTGCATATCTTCCAGTTTGTGTGAAATCAGACATATATCATCGGCGAAGTCCAGATCCTCCAAGTTTTTTGTGTGAGGACTCCAACTTACTGACTGAATAATCAGTGTACTCTGTCAGCAACGTGAAAACTCTAGACTCAGTCCCTAAAGATCACTTCTGAAGAACGCAGAACTAAGAGAAAACAGCTGTCCAGTACTTTTTAGTTATTCAGTTGATATTTTCACTGGCTGTTTTTAGAGGTCGGCTTACTGACCAAGTCAAGATTGCATTAAACATCCTGCTTAGGAATGTTTATTTAACATGACTCAGTTAAACGAATTTGTTTGTTTTTTGCCTTTTGACCTCATTTTTGACTAATGTTTACCACTGAAAGTTTCAAAGGTAAGTTGTTAATATTTGTGTTTTTGTTGAGAGCAGTGTTATCTAATACTTCGCTTTGAAGTTTAAGTTGGTTAGTGAAGTTCCCTACTTCGACAGTGCAGATTTACTAACACTTCATCCGATGAAGATGACAATTTCAAGGAAACCAAGTTGCCACTAAAGTACAACATGCATATCAGATATTATGATCAGTAGAACTTTGACATCATTAAATATGAGATTAGATGATAAGGGCAAATCAGAGCAAAAACTCTCTGAGTCGAAAATGTTCCATATTCTTGTCATTCATCAGTAAAATATACAAATTAAAAGAAAGTTAGGCAATCAGACCCTCTAAACTTGGAATTTACATAAGATCCTCTTATCAAAGAATAACATCTTATATATGTCCAAACCAAGTTCACCTTTAACAGTTTGAAAAAATTTGGGCATTGGGTTTATGATATTCATTATAATAAAGGTTTTTGTATTTCCCAATGAATGAAAAACAACGATATCGTGTGTTTACTGACGTTTCGCTATTTAATGCTAATAGCTTTATCAAAGTAGCATTATTAAAAGAGAATTTACAAAATCTCAGCATATATACAACAAACAGTTAGGGGTGAGAAAGTAGACAAGTTAGGTCAAGTTAAAAGGACATCTTTAGGGATTCTCTATCTAATTGTGTCTATAAAATAAAATGTTTAGAATGTGATGCGATATACATCGGACAAACATCTGGAGAAATCAAAATTAGAAGAAATGAACACCGTAGAGCATCTGTTCGACCACCGAGAAATCCAATTGAACTGGAAAAACTTGAAAAATCATCAGCCATAGGTCTACATGCTATAGAATCAGGCCACAAAATTGATTTTGACAATATTGAAATAATCCAGAAAAACTTCAGAAATCACGAAGAACGTCTAAGATCATCAGAAGCACTTCATATCTAGTGGAATCCAAATTGTCTGAATAGGAATGATGGACTAAAACAGAATTTGACCTGGTTACAACACCTCCCTCCCCCATGAAGTGACAAAATCAACACGAATGTGATATTGAAGTTCACTATGTAAACACACACTGCCTTTATAATTTTAAACACTGATCAAATCCAACAATCTACACTTGATTTTGTTATCTTTACCAAATGACCAACTTGACAACGAAAAGTGACCCCAGACTGACGAACGATGATCAAGTTAGTAAACTTTATTTTGATACCATAACAGATGTACTATTACCTTTGTTATTTGGTTTAGTGATCTTCATTGGTATTTTAACTTTCAATATGTCCTTTTAACTTGACCTAACTTGTCTATTTTCTCACCTCTTAACTCTTTGTTATATATATGCTGAGATTTTGTAAATTCCGGTTTAATAATACTTTGATAAAGCTATTAGCAGCACTATTAAATAGCGAAACGTCAGTAAAAACAAATATCGTTTTGTTTTTCATTCATTGGAAAATACAAAAACCTTTATTATAATGATATCTTAAGCTACAATAGATTATATTCCGTACTTCATCGATAGATTTTGACAAAAAGGTTAGGCCTAGGCAGTTATATCGAATGTCATGAACAGATCAGATCATGTACTATTAATTTTCACAATATTCAGATGAAACATTTCTGGCACTTGTTTACTTTCAAGAGTTCTCCATGGGGCTTTGCATGAAAACTGTTCAGTCCAGATATTTGACAATCACATATTTCTTAATTTATTGCCTTGATAGCTAATCGGGATCCGTCCAACTCTTATAGCCTTATGTATGCATGTAAATCAACTGTCTACCACCAGCGTTTCACAATTCATGGTTGTTCTATCCAGTCAACTAACTAGTGGAGAACATACACTTAGATAAGCAGGAAAGTATACTTACATCGAAGATTAGAAAGTATGTGTGTATTAGAATATTGCATAACTCTGGCCCGTGATGGTGGGCATTTTAAAGTGGATAAAATTAGTTGGTTGTCTCTCAATGTAAATAGTAAACAACATTAGCACAGACTAAATTCTGACCGGTCCTCTTCAGGCCGATGTTCTTGACCCTTTTATCAGGTGCAATCCAGGTATATGAATTAACTGGAAATAAAACCATGCAGGTGCTTGCTTGTATAATATAAGAAGTAAGTCCTTATAGGTAGATGAAGAAGTTATGTCCATATGTATGTGGAAGACAGGATAAGCAAGCGCCCTTTTGCAGTCCGTTACACGTGTGAGATACGTTGGAGAGATAAGAAGTCTCTAGAGGATCTGGATTTCACGAACGATTTATGTCTAATGTTATATAAATTCCAAAACTCGCCGGTGAAAACTAACAAACTGGCTGAAGAAGTGAGCAGCGAAGCCAGGACTCCAAACGAACATAGAGAAGATGGAGGTGTTGGATATTATCATCCAACAACAACGAAAACCAATCACTTTCAAGAGGGGGAAATTCGGAAGAGATTACTTCTTCCAACTATCCAGGCAGTATCGTTTCCACTACAGGCGGTGGGACGGATAAAGATGTCAAATCCAGTATTGGGAAGGCAAGGTGGACTTTCATAACTCTAAAATCAGTGTGGAATTCTTCTGCACTCTGTGGCATAAAGAACAAAATTCAGATTTTCAACATAACTGTTAGGTTAGTTCTTCTTTCTATCAGAAACCTGTCACGCATGTCAGGGAAACCATCTCCAATAGGCTCCTAAAGAGTTTCATCAATACTTTCCTTCACTGGCTCCATTTTGAGAGTTAGATGTCTTGCAAAATGGAATAAGCAGCAAGAACCTCCAGGGATAAACTAACCAAGAGCCTATTTATCAAGAAGTATTCTAAAGAGAATGGAAATAGATCGGAAACATTCTAAGGGGACTGTCGAATGACATCGCTCACCAGGCCGTAGAGTGGAACCAGAATAGGAAACAAGTTGGGCGTTCGAGCGTGACGTGAAGGAGATCGTGTGAGATGGAAGCTTACGTGTAATCATGGGACCTTATTAAGAGAACAGCGAGCAGCTGAACAAGGGAATAATAATAGCAATAAATAATAGATAAGTGGGATGACTCGGAAGGCCCACTTCCCTTTATTGTAGCGGAAGGATATTGTAGTGCTTACCGAGAGTTGTGTTTCAGATTATCTAGTGAATAGGGAGCATCAGATTGATCAAAACTGAGCTTTACAATTTGTTATACAGGACAAGCCTCGTTAGTTAAATCAGTTTATATCTATCAGTCTAAGGGTGGCTGAAAATCGTACTACAATTTGTCAGTTTAACTGAAATCTAACAAGCTATCTAACGTTATATTCACTCTTTTATGTGGGGTTTCTCACTTTAAATCGATTTGATAACTCTTATTTAAATGTTTAGAAAATGTCAAGTAATTTTATCTGAATTATTTTAACGAATTTTATAATGAACGCATTTCAGAAGATTTTGTATGAGTCTCACAGATGTAATAGTTGAATAGAATTCTATATGAATGACATAATTTCACCAATAATCGGTAAAACACAGTTTAAATCCCAGCTAACAAGAAACTCACAGTCCAAGCCATTCTCTCCGGAGGTACATTCATTCTCATTCCAGGATATTTTTCAAAATTGAACGGAGCCATTCTCCATAGACGATGATCACCTAAAACGCGTTCTATCACTCGACCAGTTTTTGCATCTGGCACTTGAGGTACTAACATAGGATCAGCTGAAGGATCTCCACCTTCTTCGGAACCACTTGATTCATCTTCTGATCCAGGAACTACAGCGGCTAAAAGAACTGGAGATTCCCTGCAAATAAAGATAGTATATTCAAAAATTATATACGATACAATAAAGCGGCAAAAAATAAATTTTATGCTTACATCTCGACATATCTGTTCTTTGAATACGACTCGTAGATTCCTTTTAACATCTCAGCCTAAGAAACAGGATAAATCACCCATGACTTAATAGACCACAGAACGTCTGGCTTGAGCCTTACACATGAAACTACTCACGCGTTAGAATTTCTTGAAGCTGCATCTGAAGGGAAAACTTCATCACTTATGATAGATAACTGTGGAGGAGGTAGAATTTGAGCATTTTCAACACCTTAATGAGAAGGAAGTATACGTAGAATGCTAGTCGCCTAATGGAAACACTTCGCTCTTGTAGCATATCTTCCAAACACCAGTAGAACTGCGTCCCCAAATTGTCAACCAGCATTATTATATAATATTTATTATTGTCCCCTTGGGTTACGAGTAGAATACTGGGCTTGAACAGCACATCTCCATGCCATTCTGTTCTCTGCAGTCCTCTTTATCCGGTTCCACGATTTCCCATAGTCTATCATTTCCTCCTCACATGATCGGCTCCATGTCACCCACTTGTCGTTTCCCATTCGAGTCCCATTCGGTCGTTGGCCTGACAGGTAACGTCATTCAATGGTCTATTCATCTTGTGCTTGATCCACCCCCATTTTCTTCAGGATATTTATTGAGCAATAGGTACTTGGATGGTTTGTTCCAAGAGTTTCTTGTTGCCAATTCTCTCTGACCATCTAATCTTCAGTAAGGAGCCAGCAAAGATAGTT